CTAGACTCAGTGCCGCTGACGACAACCCTCTGAGTTCTGCCATTCAGCCAGTTCTCAATCCACCCCACCGACCACTCATCCAGCCCATACTTCCTGAGCTTCCCTAGGAGGATATTACGGGAGACTGTGTCGAAAGCCTTGCTGAAGTCTAGGTAGACAACATCTACGGCTCTCCCTTCATCTACCCAGCCAGTCATGTCATCGTAGAAAGCTATCAGATTGGTCAGGCATGATTTCCCCTTGGTGAATCCATGCTGACTACTCCTGCTGGTGACAAGCATGGGCCCAGGAGGTGACCCGTGGGGTGGCAGAGGACAGCGCAGAGGGCTCAGAGCTCCTCAGCCAGCCCGGGTCAGGGCACGTGCTGGGTACACGACCTCAGCCACCCCATGTGACGCCCAGTCAGAAGCCAAGCACACCTTTAACCCTGTTTTTGCCCCAGTCCTCCCCAATGTGGGTTTGACAGAGTTCATGCCACATTCATTTACATAATTAGAAACCCAACCAGAGTCACCACTACCCAAAAAGGGGAAGATGTTTTGGGCACAAGGTCATCTCAGCACCTCTAAATGGATGGTGCCTGCCACCCTCAGCGAAGCAGACCCCAGTTCAGCACTGGTGCCCACAGCAAGAGCCGTTACCAAACTGATTTATACTGGACAGCCGCAGCTCCTTCCAGTTACACCAGCATGAGGAATCAGAGAGGAAAGCTTTGGGCCCCTTGCTGATTTGTAGAGGAGTTCATCCACATATGGGCAAGAAGGTTCCTTTCTGCTTTGTCTAAATATATTTGCCAAAGTTTTGAATTCTTTTTAGCTCCAGCAGAGTGGTTGTAGCACCCACCAGAGGTTTCAAGCACTGCGTGTTTCCTCCCTGCTTCCCCCAGCATTCTTTGGACCCTAAAACACCGACTCCTCCTGAATGTCCCCATCGCTTGAAGCAGGGCTTGGATCACCCTTCGAAGACTTTAGTCTTGTATACACTTGTTTACACATGGACACTAATTGGAAATATGGAGGATGTGACTGTTAAAAGTGGGTTAACTGCTCTGAATTAATTCTACACACAGAAGATCTTATTGCTGGGGGGGGCGGGGGGCGCTGCTTCCACACTGTCTAAAGAGGTTTGGAGTAAAACCCCAGCCCCGGGCCGGAGTAGGGATTGCTCTTCCCCTGAGCATGTCCTGCTGATGAGCTGCTGCCAAGAGGAAAGGTGCTCCGCTATCTGGAAACGGGAATCATGCCGCATCCTCCCTTGTGCTGGGAAGGCTGAGTGGGATAACCCAAGCAACATGCAAACAGGGCTGTCAGCTCTCTAGATACCTGTGTGGCTGCCACTCGCCTCCCTTGCTAGCTAAGGATGCCAAGGGACCTGATCCATAGGGGACAAGGGGGCTTTATATGGGCATACCCGCCCACCGCGACTGCGTAGACTTTCTTTGGGACACATCTCAGCACTCCTTAGACCTCATAGCAGAAGAGAAGCAGATCTGCTCCTTCAGCAGAAGCAGGGAAATGAGCCAGTAAAATACAGGTACGTCCAGATTTACCCCTGCAGTATCTACCCAGCCATTGCGGTACAACATTCAGACAGTAATAACTGGCTTTTCCAGCTTACACCACCCAAAATTGCTTCAGGGTGGCTGCCAAAAGTGGCGACATCTTCAGATTTCCTTTATGCCTTGTGAGTGATAGGAGTTACATCAGTATTGCATCCCCACTGGTGCTTTAAGGAATTAACTCCTCTATTTCTATTTTGAAATAAAAAATATATAGTAGGGAAATCTAGGCAATAATTGTCTTACCGAGGCTGACGCCGCACACCACGGCGGCGGCGATGAGCGAGCCGGCTGAGGACCCATAGACCTTGCACGCAGACTTGAGGAGCTCGGGAGCTAACTCCAGGAGGGACTGCACCACCCCGATCTGGTATAGGACGAGAAAGCCACTGCCCGAAAAGGAGAGAGAAAAAGGGGTGCTCGAACCCCGGAGATCCTCCTCAGCCATCTTGAGATCAAATTGACGTATCCGGCTCAATGTCTCGGGTTGTCCCTTCTCACCAGGTGAACCTCAAGCTCTCTTCTCCTCTGCTTTCTCCAGGCTCATCTCTGGCTGAAGAGGAGTCCAGAAGATGGATTTTCTGCCTCCTTTTATGACAGCTCCCTGAGGTGTTTGGATTCACGAGCTATTTTAATTGCTACCTGTGCTAAAACCAGAATTTTTCCCGGATCAAAACATTGCTTGTAATCCTCGACCACGGCCAGCTCAGATGCTCAGGGCTGAATCAAGGCTCGGCTTTTATACCAAGCACTCTGCCGTGCCCTGGGAGCCCTCCTGGAGACGATCCCCGCATTATGGCGCCCGTCGCTCTTGGAAACATCCATGCAAAATTTCCTCTTTGCTTTGTGCCTTCTTCATCAAGGGTGTTTTCCTAAATAGGATTCTCCGTCAATCCCAGCTTAGGCACAGCTCAGTACTGGGTGAGTAAAGGCTTGTATAAGACACTTAAGGGCAGAGGGTGTTACACAAGGGGTGGATGCAGGGCGTTACGTTGGGTTAGGTTTGGAAATATTGCTTATATTTGCTCCCTATTGGAAGGGGTTTATCCTTGCATAATTCTTGGATGTGCTTTGGGGGGAAAAACAGGGAGCTGGATTTGCTTTTCTCTTCTTCCCCCAGCACTGTGCTCTATAAGGCCCCAGGACGATGCCCGCAGCAGCACCGTGTTCCCCAGATCTGGGGTTACTGAACCAAAAGCAAACTGCCTTTGGGCTGTCTTCACTGGCTGGGTGATAGTTAAAATAAACAAGGAGAAATTCAGTTGATTTCTAGTGTCATTTCAGCCTTAATAACCTATTGCTGCTGCCAACATGCAGAATAAAAATTGCAATTTTAAACAGATGTATTTATTAAATATTACTAAATACTGTGGCTTGTGTTGTCCAAACACATATAGCGTGCACAGTAGATAATGAATATTACATATGTTATATTCAAGCTCATGTTTATATACATAATGTGGGCATGTGTATAATAGCAGGCTGGAGGGGAGAGCTCTCATTGCCCCTGTTGGTGCACCAGCCTGGCCAGGGCGGTACGAGAACACAGAGGATCATCCCAGCATCCTGATACAACCTTCGCAATGCTGTTTAACCCCAAATTTTCATATGTTTTTCCTCAGGCTCTGCAGCCATCGCTGGGTCCTCACGATAAGAGTTGTGTCCTGTGCAATACCCAGGGGCAGAGACCCCACCTCAATGTGCAAAACGTCCCTGGGTTGGAGTTTCGCTGGTCGCTGCCCATCAGCAGGTGAACGTTGCCTGCAAAGCCCCCCAGATAAATGCCACTCGGCATGGCCAAGGCTGTCCTCGACGGCTGCTGCCTGGGCGACAGAACAAGCAGGAGCAAGCTGTCAGCTCAAAGATACACGGAAACGTTATCTGGACTGTCCTGGAGGTGAACAACTCCTTGAATGAGAGCATTTGCGTGTGACCATGTCCTGCTGTAGATACAGAGCCTTGCTGGATTTGGTCTTCTCGTTTCTTGCCTTCCCAGTGTTTGATGTTGTTTTTGCATTATCCCCTCGCTGGGTGAGTCTCCCACACGTTCCAGCCTTTCTACCAACCTTCTGGTGATATCTGAGCTTGGATCTGCGTGGTTCATGCCGCTGTCTCCTCCAGCCCTTGGGAAAGCAAATTCCTGCCCTTCAAGGACTTTCTTCCAGCACTGGCAAGCGTCTGCCGGTAGAAGAAGGGCAAAAGGTGTCATCTCCCACTGCGACTGATCTGAACAAACCAGCGCGTCGGAAGTGCAGGAGTCTGTGCACGCTGGGAGAAGCAGTTTCCTTGTTCTCTATGCATTAACTCTGCTAATTATGCGCAGCAGGCCCCCGGGGAATTCAGCAGGCATTGCGTGGAAGAGGCGTAGGATGCTCCTGCTTCACTCACCACTTGCACCTTCTCGGTGGAGCCCAGCCCTGGCTGCCAAGCTTTGGGAAAGGTGTAAATGATCCCATGGGACCTGCAGAACACGCTCCTCCATCCAGCGCGCAGCATGAGACCAGTAGGAGCCGGGCTTGCTACAAAATGTGGTGCTCCAGGAGCACCTCGTGAGTGCAAACCCCGACCAAGCTGAGCGGGAGATGTTGTCCCCCCAGGGTTTCCTTTGGGCGCCTTGTAGTAGTTTCCTCCCTTGCGGCTGCCATGAAGTAATGTATTAAATGTATTTTTCCATTCCCAAAGCCAGATGATGAAGGACAGTGCGGTGGCCATGATAAAGCCGTTAGCCCTGCAAGAAGAGAAGTGAGCAGCTCCGTGGGGAGGTGCATGGTGAGTGCGAGAAGGTCCCTAACATGGAGAAAGCCCAGCAGATGGCACAGCCCCATGCCAAGGTAGGGCCAGCCCCAGGAGAGGGGCAGGGGAGGCAAGGCAGGATGGACGAGAGGATGAGTGTCCATGCTCAGGGCAGGACAGGAGATGTCTGACCTGGCAAGGGGAGGACAGCACCCCAAAAGTTGGCAGCTCAGACCTGCGAGGGCTTCCCAGCATCCTCAGATACCCCGGGCTCCCCTTGGGATCCTCAAAGCCCAAGAGGAGCCGGGCTGTGGGGACACACTGGGGGGATCTGCGGGCCGAGGGGGTGCACAGCCACGTCACAGCATTTCCCACAAATCGCCCTGTCCTGCAATGAATTATGGGGGTGCTTCTCAAGGAGGGAGGGGATGCAAAATCCACCCTGCACCCTGTCCCACTACAAACACCGAGGCCCTGGGGACAGCATCCCAGGGGCCAGCATCTTCCCTGGCCCGGTGCCACACTCCCGTGAGATGAAACCTTGTCATCATCCTCTTAGTGACAGCGAATTTTGCATTAATTGGCTCATTAAGTGCCAGCCTGATTTTCTAAGCCACCCTCCCCCACCTGGTGCTCAACAAAGCGGGATCAGTGGGGACTAACGACTTTGGAAACGCACGATCCCAGAGGCAGCCTGGGATGCTTTCAGGAGAAGCCCTCCCAGCTCGTGTCGAGCTCCGGGCAGGCAGGGGGCTGTGCAGGGTGCGGGGTTCTTTCTGCCCGGGCAGGATCGGTGCCCAGATGGCCGGTGTCCGTGATCCCGGGGATTTGCAGGCGAGGCGATTGCCTTAGCTGTTTGAAGCCACGGCAGGGCGTTTAGGGAAGGATGAAGGTAATACCGAGAGCTGGAAACCGATCAAAACGCCAGGGCTAATAACTTGCCCTTCTTTAATACCTCCTTAATATCTCCAGTGGCCACAGGCAATCAGGGTCTCAATTTTATAACCAAGAGATTAAGCCAAGACACTGGAGTCGCTCACAAGAAGGGACCTGGGCTCCAAGAGCCACCAGCTCCCGGGTGCTGCGTTAACGGCAGCCATGGCTGCTCCCGTCCTCGTCCCACCACGCCGGGCTGGAGCAGCATCCCTGCTTTGGGGTGGGTCATCTTGGACCAGGAGCCCGTTGTGGCTGTGCAGGTTTTGGTCCTTGTTTCCCCAGCACCACTGCCCTGATGGGTGGGGAAAGGTCCAGCAGCCACAGCAGGAGGGTATTTGTTTCAGCTGTGATATCGGGAAAAGCGCAGCAGAAGGAAAAGGGAGCCTCTCACCAGTGTTTTGCCTGGCAGCCGTGTCCCGTGGGCCGAGGGGAGACGATGCCCTCCGGGAACTCAGCGAGGAGGCAAAACCCTCTTCTGCTCCATGCAAATCCCAACCCACACCCGACACTGCAGAGCCCAGATGCAAAACAACCATGATCCTCCTACCAGGTCCCCACCGGGTCCCCAAGCCCAGCTCACCCTGCCCCGGTCACTGCCCCGATACTGTCCCCCAGGCTCCGGGCATGGGACGGGAACATCGTGAGCCTGTGCGAACAGGCGAGAGCAGTTTCGGTTTCTCCTGCAGTAGAAGTCTCCCAGCTTGGTTCCCAGCCAAGAGGAAAGAGCACTGGTGCTGTGCTTGTTGCTGGCGTTGCCGAGTGGGACCCGGGAGTGAGATTTGATGTTTTTCACAGTCCTAATTATCCCGGGCTAAACTAGACAGAGCCCCTGCGAGGTATCCCCCCCTCCTCCGGGCTTTTCGGCAGCCGGCGAGTCAATGCTCCGCAGCTCTATCCAATGTTTCCTTAAAGGCTTCGCAAACAGGGGATGTTGATCTGGGTGGGGAAGGGCTGCTTCCTTCTTGCGAGGGCTCTGCTTCCCCATTTCATTTTATTTAGGGTTTTAAAAGGACTGAGAAGATCAGGTCCTCCAGGAGAGGAGGTGCTGGGCAGACACAGGCTGTCGCCGGTGGCCCGCGGGGGACGGTCACCCCGTGCAAGGCACTGACCCAGACCCGCAGGTTCATTTGCCACCATTGTCACCTCCAACCACGAGAACATCCCACCTCTTGCACGCTGCAAACCCTGAAATTTTGTCCCCTGCACCCCAGGCCGGGTCTGACCCTGGCAAGGGAGATGCTCCTGCTGGTGCCACCACGCTGAGCGCTGGCAATCCCCCCGGCTCCGAGCTGCCTTAATCCCTGGCCCTTCTTAGGGTACTGGGCAAAGATTAGCTGGGAACACTCCCAGAGATTACAGCTTAATCGCTTTGACATTTCACATCTTCTTAGACCTCGTAGGTGAGACCCCAGCAGCCATAAATCCCCCCGGGCCTCAAGAGAGCTCCTGCACCCCTCGGGAACAAGCTTTACCCAGTTCCTGGTGTCAGATCAAGCTGCTTTGGCTAATAATCTCCTTCTGCTGGGAAGGGAATGGCTATAAATAGTAAAAAAAAGCAGGACCACGCCACGTATCTGCTGTAAGACTCCCTTTGTGCCACTTTGCATCTGGCTGGAAAGGAGCAGCCCACAACAGCTGCAACAAAGCGAACGCCGTTCCATGTATAATGCCCGTACACAGCACCCATTAGACAAGCCCAGCTGTCATTTAGGACCAATTTATTTGAGTTTTATGGGTTTTTTCCTGAACTGGATGCTTGGCTGACAGCAGAAGCTACAAAAATCATGTTGTACATTCACAGACTTGTATAGAAAAGCAGGTAAATAAATACACACACACGAACACAAACAACATGAGGTTCAACACATGCACTTGGCAAGAGCTAAAATGCAACTACAGGGTGAAATTTGGGGGTTCGCTGATTTACAGACTCTTTGCCACCATCCAGGTGGGTTTTAAGCATTTTACGCTGCTGTGGCTCTCACTGTGGTTTTCCTTCAAAGATTTTAAATCCATAGCTTGGCAAATCACCCCACATCCAGGTCGCCAGCAGGGACCGTGCCCCCCATCAGTAAATCTGCATCCTCGGGCTCCCAGGCACCGCAGCCGATGTCAGTCCGGGCTCTCACAGTTGTCTGTGCTGAACTTCTCTCTGTCCTGCAGAAACAAGATAAAACATCGGTGAGGTCCCTTCCCAAACGGAGCTGGTGCTCTTGGTCTTCTTTCTTGAGGAGGAAATTCTCCCCGAGGAAAGCCACGGTTACACCAGGTTGCAGCAATGCCGTACGCTGCGGGGCTGCTCCCGGCTGCGGAGACGCAGCGGGCAGGGAGCAAAGCAAGTCCTGCTCCTTGTGTGCACATGGGCCATGCTCGTGTTGGAGGAAGGCAAAGGCAGCCCAAACAGCACTGGGCAAGATCCAGCACCCAGTCACCTCCCCAGTGTAAGCCAGCATCACTGCTACCCACCCAGGTCTGCTGAGCACCCTAAAATTACACCACTTGCCCAAACTTGCTGCTGGGAGCTCAGCCCTGGATGACTTCTCCCTACCTGGAGAATTTTGCTGTAGGACAAGGGTGCAAACGAGTCTTCCAGGTAGCGGGTGCCAAAGCCCATGATCCTGTTCACGGCCTGATTGCAGATGCCGGCCACCTTGGCGGTGAGGTGCACGGCGAAGGCAAACTGGATCTCTTGGGGGTTGACGTCAGGTCTGCTGGCCGTCATTTCCTTGCGGACATAGGCGTCGGCCAAGTTCTTGAAGGAGCTGTAGGACATGTCTCTGAGGAACACCCGTAGCCGTGCATCTTCCTTCACCTGGTTAAGAAGCGAATACACGTTACGAGCGAACGACTCAGTGTGTCAGCCTTGCGTTGATGCCTTCACTTCACACTAGGATTGCAGCTGAGGGAAGATGGACAGACAGCCACGCTCACGCCCCGGCGGGGAATTAAAAGATGCCATTTCCTTGATTTTACTGAGCATTTCCCTGCAGCAGGGAAATTGATGGCGTTGCTGTATGTTACAGCAGTGCAGAGCTTGGCCCAAAGTCCCTCGACCCCATCCAGCTGACCGCAGCTCTCACCTGCCTGTCCAGCTCATCTCCTGCACTCTGGAGCAGGGCGACGATTCTCCTGACGGCTTCATCTGCAGAGAGAGACCCCATGTTATCTCCAGCCCTTGCTCCAAGCCTCACACCCAGATGCTCTGTTTAGACCCCAGGAAAAATTCCCTGAGCAATGCTTCCCTGCCTCCATCCCTCCAAAACCCATTTCAGCCTATCGGCAAGTGCCTTGTTATCCTCAGCCAGCACAAACACCCTCCTGCCTTTGAAATTCTCTCTCCCCACATCAAGCCCTGATGCTGAAAACCTCTGCCAAGGTTTCATATGACTCTCCAGGTCATCCTGGGGCAGGACTGAAGCGGGGTTTTGGTCCCATGCAGGCTTTGCACGGGGAAAAGTCTCATGCCTACATTTTCTATACATGCCAGTGATGAAGAGCTTGCAGGGGCAACACTCACCGACCCCGTCAGTGCTGGCTGGCCGCGGTGGTTCCCCACATCCACGCACTCTGCTGCCCTGGCTCTCGCTGCCCTGCACGATCAGCCCGATCTCATCTGAGACTCGTGCGTAGTAACCATCGGGCTGCTCCGCGTCTGCTGGAAGAAAAACACGTGTTCAGAAGCAAGGATTATTTTTTTTGTTGGACATTGATTGAAAAGAAAAGCAGCCACAGCGTTGACAGCATCCACGTGGTGCTCATGCCCGCCCTGGATTAGTGCATACCGACAGCGAAGGATGGGGCTGAGCTCCTGAACCATAACTGAGCGGCTCCGACTTGCCCCGACTCTGCCGAAGCTTCGCAGAAAACCCCTCACCGGCTTTTTGGCAGGAGAAGGGCTGGGCTGGGGACAGGGCTACCTGCCGTGCCGGCTGCCCGCACCCTTCCCCGCAGCAAATCTAAAGCAGCTTAACGTTGGCCCTAGACTGGCTTAAGATTTAATCTCAGGTCTTGAATGAAAGTTTAAATAAAGCCACCACGTGCCTCGTTTGGCAGAGGGGGAAAACCTGTGCTTGGCTGGTTACTGCCGAGCAGCTGGCTCGGGGTAGCTTGCTCACAAGCCAGAGCAGTGGCGTGTGCCCAGTACGTGGGCAGACTGACCCTTTCCTGGGGCAGCCACTTGAGACCGGAGTCCCCAAAACCTATCCCAGACCCCAGAAAGCACCAGGAGGGTGATGCTTAGGTTAGAAACCAGCACTAAACACTACACCTTTCCCAAAAGAAACTCAACAGAGGTCGCGTTGGCAGTAGGGTTGGGTTAGGGGTGATGGGGGTCCTACCTGATGTGGCGGGCACCTGGACGTGCCGCAGGGGAAGGCAGCTGGGTCGCTTGGCCTTCGCCCCAGCTGCCACCTCTCCCCGCTCCTCCTCCGCATGCTTCTTGAAGGAGAAAACCTTCTTGAGGCTGGGGCTCCTCTTCGGGGCTCTACCCCGCGGCAGGGATGTGCTCAAGTCCGCTCCGGGTCTTTTCGCCCCTTCTGGTTTGGAGCTGTGAGGAGCTTTGGCATCTTTCTCCTTTGCTTTTTGCCCTGCGTTTTCCTTCTGGTCCTCAGAGCTTTTCTTGAAGAAGAAATTTAAGAAACTTTTGAACAAGGTGCGTTGGGTTTTGCCCGGGGAAGAGTTTTTTGTGCTTTTCTTCTTGGGCTCCGGCTCCTCGTTAGGGACCTCCCCTGGAGCTTTGCTCTCATTATCCAGAGCCTCAAGCAGGTCTGGTGCTTTGGGTCCCTCCTCCTGCTCCTTCTTGGGACCATGTTTGGCACACGAATACTTGCAGAAGTCGCTTTTCGACCGTTGCAGCCTGCCTGCCTTCCTCCCTCGCCCTCCGGCTCTCTCCTGAAGCGTTTTTTTGGCCACCAGCGAGTTTTCGCAGCAGCTCAGCGAGCGCCTGACGTAGATCTCCAGCACTTTCTTGGCCCCTTGCCTGTCCAGCGAGAGGATCTTGCCCGATGGCTGCCTCCCCACATCCCACGGAGGCTTCTCTGCAGCCAGAGCCCGCACGTTGCTGTGGAGGAAAACAACATTTTCAGCCTGATTTTTGCTTTCCCCAGGACGCTGCGTGGTCAGGTTGGGCACGATGGAAATCTCCCCCATTTTGGCTAACGCTGGAGCCCAAAGGTGCTTTGGGTGTCCAAGACTGTGTATGCTCCCAGTAAATGATCAACCCCTTTTATAGCTGTTACCCGAGTGCTCCTTACACAGACTGCACACGCAGGGTTTTATGATGGGCTATAGACACCGCTGATAAAGGAAACAAAACTGCAGGTAGCAGGGAGCCGAGCTGGGCACGTCTGAGAGGGAGAGCCTGGTTATCATCCAGAGGGTTTCATTCAGCAAGGGTATCACCCTGATACCGTGGTGCTGTATCTTCCTATCGCAACATATTCCCATACTACAATGAAAAACTGCATGCCAGGAGCGCCATCCCCCCGATGAATCACACAACCCAGAGGTTTTAGTATCCCCCCCTCAACTATTGGCTGCTAAAAAAAGAAAATAAACCTTCTCCAGCAAGGCCGGGTGCTTTCAGCCCTTGGAGAGGCCAAGGGTGATGTGAGCTCTTGCAGATCTGCTCAGTCACTACCAATACTGGCTCAGCACCTTGCGACGATGCAGCCCCTCCCCGAGCTCTCACCAGTGTAGGGCTGTGATCGGAGCTCGGAGCACGCAGTCCCTGCCTCTTCCATCACCCTTTTCCTCTACATTTTCAAGCAAAATTAAACAGGAGATGTTACTACTGAAAAAACTATGCCTGTGCCTTATGCTGGCGCTGCTTCCAAAACCAATTTAACCCTTCAGAGAACCAGACCCAAATCAGACTTTCTCTGCCACTGAACGGGAGAGTGAAGCCAGCACAGAAATCCAGCACCCTCGGGTGTGTAAACCACCCTGCAGCCGGGCATCAGCCTCTGCTCAGTCTTAATGAGTATCATCACAACACACAAGCACACCCACCCCCAGCTTGGCCTTTTTTTGGATCAAGGAGGCAAGTTTCGTTCACCCAAGCCATCAACAAAGCCATCCGACCACCCGATAGTAAATCATTCAACTAGTCGTAACCACAGCAAAGCAACAACCCCCGTCCTACTCCAGTTGGTTCCAGCGCATTGGCTGCATCATTCTTTATCTGCTCTTTTGGTATTTACCTTTCCATTAGTATTTCTGCCCTCTGCACGTATATCAAGAGAAAGCTCCTTGGCCACAGGCACTAAGGGTTGTCAGGCTCTCTTGGGAGGTGCGTTTTTTATACCCGGGACTGATGGCTGGCTGAGTTAAGTCCTATTTTTAGCAGCCATTCAGGTAGGAGAACGGCCAGCGCTTCCGCCTGGGATCCCCGCTATCACCTCCCTCGTGGCGGAAAACCAGCAGGCGTGAGTTTCGCTGGAGGAGAAAACAATTTCCTTATGACGAATAGCAGCAAAACAACATAAAAATCACCTGTCACCTGCTGTAAGCGCTGGCCTTTGAAACCAGCTATCTCAGCCAGGTGTTTGGCATTTGGTTTTGGTTGGTTGGGTTTTTTTTCAATGGGTGTGATGCCATGTATGGGCTTTTTCTGGGTTGTTTTTGTAAGTAGAAGTCATCACTTTCTCACATGAATGCGGTTTCAATGCAGCAACCAGACTACCACGCTCACATCTCAGGAGCTTCCAGGACAGTGGATGTCGTGGCTGCTGCAGGACCACAGATGCTCTGGGGCACAGTGCTATCAGGTTGTTGCCTAACACCAAGCATGACTGGGCTACAACGTCTTTGAAACCCACCCTGGGGTCCTTCAGACAGCCCACACACCCGCCCTAAAACATGACACAGGACCAGCTTCATGCCCCGAACCCTCTGCACCCCCAAGGCTCCCACTCAGCCTTGCCCAGGGGCAGAGCATCTCCCAGGGCCAAACCCACAAGACAGATCTGTGCATCCCAGTGTCTACACACTCGGCCCCTGGACCAAGCTAATCTTCTTCTTCTGGTGTGCATTCAGAGGACTGTGGCCAGCAGGTCGAGGGAGGTTCTCCTTCCCCTCTACTCTGCCCCAGTGAGGCCCCATCTGGAGTACTGTGTCCAGTTCTGGGCTCCCCAGTTCAAGAAAGATGAAGAGCTACTGGAGAGAGTCCAGCAGAGGGCTACGAGGATTATGAGAGGACCGGAGCATCTCTCCTGCGAGGAGAGGCTGAGGGAGCTGGGCTTGGTCAGCCTAGAGAAGAGAAGGCTGAGAGGGGTCCTTAGAAATGCTTAAAAATATCTGCAGGGTGGGGGTCAGGAGGACGGGGCCAGACTCTTTCCAGTGGTGCCCAGTGACAGGACAAGGGGCAACGGGCACAAACTGAAGCAGAGGAAGCTCCAGCTGAAGATGAGGAAGAACTTCTTCCCTCTGAGGGTGACGGAGCCCTGCCCCAGGCTGCCCAGGGAGGTTGTGGAGTCTCCTTCTCTGGAGATATTCCAGCCCCGCCTGGACGCGGTGCTGTGCCGCCTGCTCTGGGTGACCCTGCTTGGGCAGGGGGTTGGGCTGGGTGACCCACAGAGGGCCCTGCCAACCCCGACCATTCTGGGAGTCTGTGATTCTGTGATTCTTACACTCTTCTTACACCAGAGATCCATTTGGCCCCACAGCCATCTCCTTGCACCCCTGTGCCTGTTGCACCCTCCCACGCTGCTGCCCGCCATCCTCATCGCTATTTTGCCATCTGATGGCAATATTTCACACTGCACCTGGCAGGGACGGTGCTGGATGCGGATGAGTTTGCCGGGCAGCAGCGGCTGCCACACAAGCTTTGGAAAATCCCTTGGCAAGGTTTCCACCTGAGCCGTGCTGCATTATCTCTGGTTTTCAGCTGGGATGATGTGCTGCCCAGGTTCCTCCTGGATAAAAGTCATCTTTGCCTGATAATGGGTTCAGCTTGCAGTTGAAACAGTCCAGGAGTTTTTTTTTTCTGTTTCTACAAACTTTCTGTGCCATAATTTCCTGTAACTGGGGAGATCCAGACCATTTCTCTCTGTTTCTCCTGAGCCTACACTGATGAATGAGAGTCTGGTATTGATTAGGAATTATCTGGTTTTGTTTTTCAGCACCCCCATCTACTTTTGATAAATAATTAAACCATCCATGCAGAGCTCTGGGCTGCTAACTACCATCTGACCACGTCCTTTCATAAGCAGGTCGATTCCAGTGGGGGTGAAGCAGTTTCACAGTCAATTTTATTATGGGTTTTTTTTTTCCTCTTCAGCATTCATAAAACAAAAAGCCACATCCACTCTGGCAATGGGGCACAATCTGGCCATCTCCAGTTTGGAGATCTTGCTACTGGAAATCATCCAAGGCTGAGCCCAAACACCGTCCCTGCTCATGGAGGACTTCTCACTATTAAACTTGAAATCAGCATTGACTTATGGCATCTTGTAGGCTTTTCCTCTGTATAGCAATGTTTCTGGACGCAGCCTGAAGATGGGCTACCCAAAGTGACCCAAATCTTGACCTCAGTTGTGATTCTGGATCCAAACCTTCATCCAAGTTCAGGTCCCTTCTGGGATTTGGGACATGCTCAAACCTCATGGGAGAGAGGCATAAGGAAAAGATGTTTGCAAGAGACCTGAGACAAGCCAAAAGCCCATTGCCAGAGTTGGGGGAAGAGATCCGGATCCAAATTTGTCTGCTTTTCTCATCAGTACTGGGAGACAATGAGGAAGCTGGCTGGAGACGCGGTCACATGGAAGGAGCACACAACACCGAGGTTGGTATCTTCCAGCCAGCAACGTTAGAAGGAAAAGCAGAACTAAAAGCATGGGGACACAGCAGGAGATAACTGGCTTGTTTACAGAAACTCGCTCCAGAACACGAAAAAAACAAGGGAGAGGTATTCCCTACATGGAGCTGTGAGGTCCGGAGGAGTACAGCTGGCTCAGGAGAGGGCAGGAGTCAAATCACACAAATTTCTTGTGAACAAGACAGACAGGCCACAGGCTGAGGGTGGACATCAGGAAAAGCCTCCTCGGCAGGAGGGCAGACAACCTCAGATGAGTCTCCAGAGGGGTTGGGGATCACCATCCTTGGAGGTCTTCAAGATCTGGCTAGCCAAAGCAACTGCCATCCCAACTGGGTGTTGGAGGCGGTCTATGAAGAGAGTGGACCACAAAAGTCCTCTCAAGCCAACACCAGCCACCTGGGCACAAAAATATCCGCAGTTTCAGATCTGAACCATGATGGGGCTGTTAAGGGCAGCCACTGCTCCCTGCACCAGCCACGGTGGAAACCTCGCAGCCCGGTTGTGCAGTGCCTCTGACCCAAGCGGGTGGTGAGCACCAGCCCCCAAAGCAAACCCCCTTTTCCTTCAGCCCTAGGACTGATTTTAGCTGCTTCCCTCAGAAGATGAGCAGTGCAACGCAGCAGTGGGCATGCATGGGCATTTGCATTGGCTGCCATGCAACACCCTGCCCCAAACACCACCAGACCTGGGCTGCCAAAGCATGGATGATGACCTCCAGGGAACGAAGCACCGGCAAACCTCTGGGAAAGCCTGCATGGGGCAACCATCTCCGTGCCACCGCCCCTGGACTTTAGCCATGGCCAAAGTCACCGACTGCTGCATGCTCTCCCTCCCCACACACCCACGCCAAACACCGCGGCGCGAGCGGCGGTTACTCGGCTGTTTACCGAAAGGGATGGGTCCCTGTTCCAGGAAAGAGCAGGTTTACAGCTCTCCCGTCTCTTTACTGCAGGGAAAAGAGACACATCGACCCAGGAAGGACACTAGGGCTTCCTGGGAGGACAGAAAGAGCTGATCGTTGCAGCCCATCCTTGCAAAGGTGCCCTTTGATTTTCAGGCTCCACGATCCCTCCGGAGTCGCAGTAGCATGGCGTGGCACAAGGAGAGCTGAGTGCTTTTGGCAGCTTCCCAGCCAGGAGAGGGAATCCCCATCCAGGTCCAACGGGTTCCTCAGTCATCACAGGAGAAAACAGGTGAAGAGAGGGCATCTTGCATGCTCCCTGCAAGCATGGCACAAGCACCAGGGCCACCGACTGTCACTTCCTCCAGCAAAACAAACCACACAGGCTGGAGACATGATGGGATGCTCAGGAGTCATCAGGGCTGTTTCCACGGCAAGAAAGTCGGGGGGATGTCTTCTTAGGGGAAGGTCAGGAAAAATGCACCCATGGGTGAGTATCCTGAGTGACGCCGGGCCAGAATGGGACAGTTGCTGAGGAAGCAGGTCTGCTTTCCCATCTGAGCTGTCCCTCAGGGTTGGGCAGGACTTACACTGACTCTGATGGATTTCACCCCAAGAAAGATCTGGTTTTAGTCTTCACTGGGACAAAAAGCACCCTTCGTGGAAGGAAGGATGAAGTCTAGATGCTTCACTACACCTTCCCAGCATGGTGGACCCCAGACTGTAGCTTGGCTGGGTGCTGGGTAACCTCCAGCCCCCTGTCCTAGCAGAGATTTTGGCCTCCCTTCCTAGCTAGGACTTCCCAAAGGCTGTGACGCGATGCTCATTTACCCCCTTAGAGCTTCTCATTTCCTTCTCCTCCATCGCTTGACTTGTCCAGCACTCATGTTTTGCCAAGCTGTTGATTTTTCTGGAAGTGAAACTTCAGCCAGCGTTTCCACAGATGTTGTACTGTTGACACTTTGGCAACCAGCCACCACGTGTCCCACCACCATCTCTTGCTGGCTACAACCCACCATCACCTTCAGACTCCAGTTAATGGGTGTAAAGTAGTTTTGGAGGAGTGACACCCATTACAGCAGGAGGCACTGCGGTTGGTTTCAGGTTGGCAACAACCAGTTTTGGTTAAAACCTCAGTCACCAACCCTCAGGAAAGTCTCACAAGACCAACAGTTCCCAGACCCGTTCACGGCATCGCTGCCCCAAAAGAAGCACTGCTGCAGCTGAGGCTTGGGAAAGGGTCCAGAGCAAAGAGACGAGGCAGCGGGATCATCTCTGCAGTGATGCAAAAAGTGAACTTGGAAGAAGTTCACCTTCTCCTGTCAGCCATGAAGCATGCTGCTGCTTCACAGCCTGTATCTGTGCTTGCCCACATAGCTACAAAATGCCATGTGTTGCACCCTGGTTTAGGGGCTGCCAAGGTTGGGGACAAGATCCGGGTGCCCACAGGAGCTGGTTTTAAATGAGGAAGGCTTGGATTTCCCAGATTCAGACCTTCAACCAGCAAGAAGTGGGATTTTCAACCATACAGAGTTACAGGCTTTTATTTCCTCAAAAAAAAAAACAATCTGAAAATATTAGTGAAATTTTTTTTATTAAAAAAAACAAACCCCCCCACACACACACATTGCTTCTTCCAGGCCACTGACAGTGCCTGGGGTTGCAGGTATTCCTGCTTCGGACCCTAAGCAAATAACCATGTGTCTGACGATGAGCGTGGTCATATTCATTACTGGCTTTGTTTCTTTTCGTATTATTTAGTCAGGTAATTACAAAAAGCATTACATGGAGGGAAAGGAGGTAAAATGAGACCCAGCTTAGGGCACCCGTGCAGCCTGGAGCTCCAGCCAGGTATTGAGTGCACTCCCACCCTCAACCCCAGGAGCAACCCCGCAGCAGACAGTGAGATCGCAGCGTAGCTGCAACGTGAGTCCGTTCTCGAATCGGGGAGGTGGCGCAGATTCAGAGCAGCGCGTTCACACTTGCAGCCACCGCTCTCCGCAAAAGCACTGCAGTAGATGTCTGACCAGCAGCACGTGCTCCGGTGCTCCCTGCTCAGCCCCTCTCGCTGTAAGGACAGAGCAGACTCTACCCCAAGTTTGAACCTTAAAGACAAGCATCAACATTTACAGAGCAAAAACATCACATTCGCTCCCAGAGGAGAGGAGAGAAGTGAGCAGAAGACCAGCCCACGTGTTCCCCTGCGCTTTCAGGGCTGGGGGACAGTTTCTGGATGTGTTTTGCTAAGGAAGCCCCAGAGATGTCACCGATGTCACTGTCTTTGGCTCAGGGCAGGTTTAGAAATGCAGGACCAGCTCTGTGGCCTTCTGTTCAGGAGATGCAAGAGACACCGGCACTTCCCAGCGGAGCACAGATCTGTCTGTGATGCACTGCAAGTGCCACCTCCAAGATTTCCTACGGTGAAACCTCCAGTGGGTCTTCTTTCAAGTCCTCATGGTCCTCGTTCTCCAGCTGCTCCAGTTTGCTGGATTTCTCATGGAAGATCTCCCCAGGAGTCTTCAAAAACCTGTAATACACTTTTTTAATGGCTTTAAGGGCATATCCAATACCCAGCCCCAGACCAGGCTGTAAACGGCAGAGCCCTTGTCCCCATCAGCTGAGCTCTGGAGTTCACCAGAGGGTACCTGCCATCCCTGGGCTTTGCTGAGCATCCCAGCTCTGCACCCAGGCTGCACCAAGCCTGGGGAGACAAAGCTCAGGACTCACCAGCCCAGAGCTGGCATTTGAAGTTCAGACTAGTCCCAGGGAAGCAGCCAGCACTGAAAACAGGAGGCTCCTGACTCCTTCCACTGTTTGGAGGTGGACTTCAGACCTGGTGTCACCGGGGAACAGGAGGGACATTTCCAGCTCAGGTGGGCTCGGGGACGTTTCCAGCAGCACCAGCTGGACTCCTCGCAGGAGAGCAGACGGATGCTGGCCCCAGGGCAGGCTGCTGGCATCGGATGGGACCCAGAGCCCAGGCATCCCAGCTCCTGGCTTGCACAGGAGAGAGCCCGGACACAAACCCATCGAGCTGTTGCATTTGCAGGGGAGGATCTTGCTGGATGAAGCAGCTGCCAACATCTGGAGCCCACCAGTTTCTCATGCCCCACCTGCACCTCCCAGGCAGCTCATTTCGCTGATCCGCTTCATCTCACCTGAACAACAGCTTCTGCCCCGGCTCCTTTTTAATAATGTTGAGTTTGTAGTAATGTCTGAGCGCTCGTGACATCTTTTCATATGTCATGTTCATCCTGTTCTGGAAGGAGAAAAGAATTGGGGGGTTGAATAAAAGCAAACACCAACACCTGGCTTGGGGCTGTCTGCAAGAGGACCACGTGTGGGACATTCGAGGTGGTTCTTGGGCATTGAGGAATGACAAATTTGTTCTCAGCTGCAGCTACCTTGTGGTTCCCCCAGAGCTGGGCAAGTCCATTTGGGTTAACGATCCGGAAGACCTTGGCTTCCTTGTCTTGCCACTTGATGTAAGGCTCATAGCGGCTGTCGGAAAGGAGCTGGTACACGTAATCCCACAGCAACCTGCAGTCTGAGCACCAGTGGAGAATAAATAGTCACAGAGCTCCTGCTAAGGCACCTGTGCTCCGGTGAGGGTCGGTCAGCAACAGGATTGCACGTTTGCAATGATCATGAATATAGGAAGAACCCAGAGCTCAGGCACAGCACTTTTATTGCTAGATCTCAAAACACAGCAGGAACTATAATTTTTCGAGTGGGGAAACTGAGTCAGGGAAGCACACACTGATCCGTGCAGTAAGTGGAAGGGGAACAGATGGGCAGACAGGACAGAGCACAGTCTCATTTCCCCAGGGAACCAGGCGGCAAATTCATATTTACCTGCAATTTTCCCATCCACTGGGGCCGACAGGGCTGTAGGAAGCGAGCAGGCGGCGTCTGCCCTGCAGCTGCCCTCCGAGCTGTGATGGGAGAGGTTGAGTGGCTCCGCGTGGCTGCGGGACACAGGCTGTGCTGCACAACCCAGGCAGGAGGAAACAGCAGCTGGGGCAGCCTCAGCACTGCCGTCTGTCCCTGAAGAGAAAGAAAACCAACCCTATGGTGCATTATGGCAGGGGGCAGGAGATCTCACACAGCTCCAAAGCACGCGGGGAGGGATGGCCCAGGGTGGTTATCAGCCCAGAGGGGACAGGTGCCAAGGAAAGCCCAGGATTTTCCTAAGGCAGGAGCAGCAGAAGGTCCAGAGGGGTTTAGAGGAGATGCCAAGTATCATGAGGATCAGATACAGAATAAAAGTTGGAACAGGAGAGCGTACCAGAGTACTGGGACTGCCTCGTAAGTTGTTGTGAGGGCTTAAGGTGTGTATCACCCTACACCTGAGCCAGCAGCAGAGCTCAGGAAAACACTCCCAGAGCCACCTCAATGCAAAGCCAGCCATTGATACCACCCCATCCTAACTCCTACCAAGGCCCCCCAAGAGCACCAATAAGCCTCACTGGCCCTGACCAGCCTCACCTGGGGCCTCTCCCACCCCACCCAATGGCCCAAGAGCTCTATTTAAACTCAGCCCTGGCCCCTCTGTCCTTTCCTAGTTACACTGCAGAACTGGTCTCCAGCCAAGGCTATGCCTCTGCCTGACTGGACACTCCCACCCAACCAAGATCTCAACTTGCAGATAGACTTCCTACTGTAGCTGCAGCCTTACTTGGTCACCATGGACCCACCTGGTGGTTCCTAGACCTGATTCTGACCAGACCTGCTTCATCACCACAAGCTTCCTTGATGACTCGGACTTTGTTGGACCTGGCTGCCATCTCCAGGACTGTCCTGCTTGCCTTGCTGAGGTACTATGGGATGGGTTCAGCTGGCTGAGCTTCAAGCCATGGATGTGTGCAACTCACTGTAGCTGAGGGCAGGACAGCTTGATAGGCAGTTGCCATTCTCCACCATACCTTCCCCTGTGCTCCTGGCCTCCCTGAAGGGTGAGTTGAGCAAAGGGCTGCACACCAGTGCTCTTCTTTGAGTTTTTATGTACTGGAGTATTTCATATAACACATCACCTGCAGGGAAGGAAAGTCTGCTCAGATGATTTTGCATTGTAGTAGAGACTCTTGATGTTGTTGCTGGTATTTCTGTGCTACAGAGTAAAACGTTGTTCCCCATCCCAAAGCATCTGCAGTCCAGATGGACTGCAGGAGGGAAGAGGGTTGTCCTTGTCTCTAGGACCCAACTGGCCAGGCAGGACTAAAGCCTGGTCTGCTGGGACTCATCCAGCCCCTCTCAGCAGACCACAGCTTGTGCTGTACTCGGATGGTCCTCAGAAACATCCCTGCGCTTGGTCTAACCTGAGCTCGGAGCTCGGTATCTGAAGTCATCCTTGGTGAGGATGCACAGAGCTTTGCCGTTCATTTCAAACTTGCTTTCGTCCGCTTGCCGAAGGGAATACTCTTTCTCAGCCCATCTTAGCCAGTGGATCACGTCGTCCTTGCTCCACAGTGAGGGCTGGATTCCTGAAACCAGGGGCAGCCTCTGAAACAACTCTGTCTCCATCCTCAAAACTGCTGAGGGGTGGGGTGGGATGTTAGTCTTCTCCATCACCAAACTTTCCTTCTATATTAAGCACTCATAGATCGAAAAAGCCCCCAAGAGAGAAAATGAACCCTGATGACTGGTCCATCTTGTCCCCCTAATCTAGGCAGCAGGGAATGGTCCCTGGGTGGGACACCATGGCTGCACCCACCACGTCCCACCCTGTGGGAACTCCTTTTTTTAAGCAGTGTTGACTTGCTCAACATCTACTCACTCAGCCTGCCTGGAAGCCTGAAGATCTCCCCCTCACTGACAGGTGAGTGTCTGGCCTGGGACGGGGCTGGTAACGAAGCTGCGACAACGGGGCTGGAAGAGCTGACTCCCACTTTACCCTGAGGAAAAGAGATCAAACTCATCAGTGCAGGAAAATTCCCAGCTCTGGTCCTGCCTTTGCTTTGGAGGTGCCTCCACCGCAGTAAACACTGCTCAGATAGTTCCTAACTGGTTTCTCATAGCAGCACGATGTGCTGTCTGCAGCTCTTCCACGCTGGCCCTACATTCTCTACCAGCCCCAGGATGAGTTTCTGCTTGCTCGGGACAGCCTTAGCCAGAGATCCCCCTCTCTTTCTCCAGCTCTTTCCTTCAGCAGAGGTACCTGCCCTCATCCAGGCTCCAGATGAGGGTTATTCCTCCCCGCTGCCCCATGGCTGCAGGGAAGGAGCAGATGGAGCCAAGACTGGCAGAGCCTGCAGTGCCCGTGCTGGCTCCTGCTTCCTGCGGGATCCTCAGGTGCTCGTTGGATGCCCAGGGTTTTGGGACAGTGCTTCAGTTCTTTGGAGTTGTGAAAACACAGCTAGATTTTGTCTTAAAAACACTGCATGAAGAATTCTCTAACTTATTCCCTGGTGATCATTTGTAGTTAAGCGCAAATAGCCATCCCAGGGTTTAGGGAGGTGTCCTCTCATCTTGCTCTCCTGCCATTAAGTCCCAGCCCCTCAAGAATTACTTCTCCCTCTCGGCTGCTCCTTAAGGAGCCCCCCCAGCCTCACCAAACAGGGTGAGATGGTCGGTGCTGGGTGGGTCGGCATCACCCCTGCTCCTCTGCCGGGCTGGAGTGTAGCATCGCCCCTGCCCTGCCTCCGGGCTCTCATCCAGAGCACGGGAGCCAGAAGGGAGCTCAGACCCTGCTTTCAGCCCCATCTAGATCTTGAAATATTACTGGCAGCCAAGCAGATAATGTTTCCCCTTAAAAATCTATTAAGGGGAATCCCAGCAATTTCTCAGCTTCGTTCTCTGGAAAATTAAAAATTTTGCCTGCAAATGGTATTTTTTCGAAGCGGTTGCCAACTCTGGGCGCTTCGATACACCGGGGCGGGCAGAGGAGCTGAGCCCCCCAAAAATCGGGGCTGAAGAAAAATCCCAGTGCGCGCTGGCAGAGCTGACAGCGGGTGGACACATCGGAAATGCAAAACTGGTGGCCCCGAAACCGGGAGCACGGGGGCAAAGTGCTCCATCCCTCCCGGGGACAACGCTTCCCGAGGATCCGGGGGAGCGGGAGAAGGGCAGCAGCTTGGGGCTGGGCGGGGGGGCGGCTTCACCAGGAGGATGAGCGGTGGAAGGATGGCCGGCTGTCTCGGGATTGCTGGTTTTAGCAAAGCAAGCGGCTGCGTGACACTGGATGAGGAAACCAGAGAAACTCCAGTATGAACTCTGAACGGGCTTCATGGCAGGGCAAACTGGTTTGGATTCGTTCTGATAATAAGCTACGGGGGAAAAATAAAAGTGAAATAAATTCGGGGTGTATTTTGTCTAGAACTCCTCTGAAAAGATATTTTAGTTTTTTCCTATCGGTGTGACCTTGCTTACGATGAGATTTATGGTAAAACCAGGCCAAGTGTTTGCTGTTTCTCTTGCTTCTAAAGATGTCTTGGACGTAAGAAACGCATTCTTCTTTTTTATTACTTTGTACCGATTTTATTTTCTTGCTTTTTTTCCTGCTTTGCTGCTTTCAGGCTTTTCTGAGACGGCGCTTCCCTGCTTTGGGAGGAAATATTGTCTTGGGGGGG